TCTCGGGCCACGCGACTGCGGGTCCCATCGTCTGATCGTTTCCTGTTTGTAAAGATATATGTATAAAAATATACATACATACGTGTATAAACTAAATGTTTCGTAAAAAAAAAACGTATGCACGGAGTCGGGCGACTACACTGCAACGACAACGACGACGGCGACGACGACGGCGATTGCGGAAAAAAAGTGGAAGAGTAATTAATTAGCGAAAGCGCATTTTCTGTCTGTAATACCACGAACCGCTGAACAATGAACCAACTAATCGTCATCTCCCACGCCCTGTCCTGCATTTCTCGATATCTCCCTTCAATCGTTTCATATAGACTCTCCTTTCCTCCCTCTCGCTTATCCGCGCTTAATTCCAATTTGCGGCAAATTATGCGAAAGTAATAAGAGATAATCTCGAGGTATGCGTAAAGATGCGAATGTGGCGATTTGTAATCGTGAGCGAAACAAAGAGTTGCAAAAGCGAGCAATGCAACAACGGCTTTGCGAATTAAGTTTTGCGCGATATGTGCGGAGGAAGGACAAGTGGAACGATATACAGTGACGTGCGGAAATTTTCGACCAGTAACATTTTGTATTTAATCTAATTTATAAAAAAAAAGCCTGATGAAATTTTTATCATTTTCGAGTATTAGTACAAGATGCGGGTAATGAAATCTCGTACCAACACCCGAGAATGATAAAAATATTATCAGGCTTTTTTTAATAAATTACAGTACAAAATGTCACTGTGGCCGGAAACTTTTGCACGCCACTGTATACCGCGGTTTTCCGAGTCCCTTTGCGAAAGAAAAAGAAATGGAAAATTTGTATTGGTGACGCGATAGCTCTTTTGTCGATGCTTCATGTGGATTCGTAATTTGTCGTCGCAAATTTAGGCACAAATCCGGCCGTCCGATTGTCGTGTTACGTTCATCCAATCTGTTCAGGATGGATATACATTTATAACAACTGCGTGTTTGTATGTGTATGTGAATGTATGTATTGTGTGTGTGTGTGTGTGTGTGTGTGTGTGTGTTAGAGGAAGAGAAAGAGAGAGACGAGAAGCGGACGGCCACGTTTGCGACGCTAAATGTGCCTCTAGAATACGGGCTTTTATCCTACTGGTGGACGCACAAGTGTAATGGAACACTGATGAAAATATTTTCGATAAACCCGCAATTTCCAGATCGCAACGGGCAAAAGAGGGATGCGACTATCGGTTTTCACTGTACCTTCCGTCGTTACGAAGCGAACTCTGGTTTTTCTAGTTGCATTTTTTTTCTGTACTTAAAACGAAACAAGAATGGCACCATCCGTGCTTTTAGAGAGAGAGAGAGAGAGAGAGAGCACAAAAGAGAAAGTAAGAACAAAAAGAATAGAGGAAAAGTAAAAAAGAGTATCTAACAAGGGATAGACCGACTAGTAGCGACATTTTCAAGGATCATTGCTGGAGGACTTTGCAACACTCCCATACATGATGTAATTGAAAATAGGGATGATTTTCCGTATTCCGCGTCGCAACCAGCTACATCGTACTAGAATATAGTGGACTAAAGTTACACACATTATTGCACACGCGAGTCCGCGAACAACACCGTTTAACTGTTTGAGAGCGGCGGATTGAAATTCTTCGGGAGATTATAACTCCGGAGTCAGAAACGATCGGTTCGATCATTCGTCATTCGAGTACAAGCGATACAAGCATTATTCAAGAATTTGCCGCTCTCTGACAAAGTTAAACGATCCGATCGTGTTGCTGCCGGTGTCCAAGGAAGCAATCGAAATTTCAGTGGCTGAGATCTCTCAACGGGGGACGAGAACGGGACGACCCGCGTTTTCTTTTTCTTCTTCCCTTCACCCTTTCCCCTTGGAAAAGTCTCACGTAGGTTTCGCATTTATAGAATTCCTCTTAACGCGAGCACATGATACGTATGTACAAACATGTGATATGACGTGATAGAGCTCATTGCTCTGTGTTCGCAGTGCGGAACTCGTACGTCGTCCGCGTTCTCATCTCACATGGATCCGATCCTTTTCTGACTTTCGAGATTGAATCGCGAAACTAGACCAGAAGTAGTGCTGCCGCGAAATCTTAAGTGGAAAGATAGATATCGCAGTTTCGCCTTTAAAAAAAAAAAAAAAAAAACAGAAAAAAGTGTTCCAATTCTAAAAAGATTCGAAATTAACAATAAATTTAAAACTCTAAAATCTAAATTCGAAGAATTCATAAATTATACAGGGTGTGTACCTGAAATAACGCCCACTAATCATATAGTGCTATTCTTAATAAAAAATAGTCGAAAAGTTCTCTAACATTTTGCAATATTTCTTTTAGTCATTTAATAAGCAAAATATCTAAAATCAATATATAAGACAACTTTAAGATATCTTTGAGAGTTCTTTAAGAAACATCTTTAAAATATTTCACCAAGAACGTTGAAAGATATTTTTAAATTGTCTTATACATCGATTTCATCCATTTACTCAGCAATTTTTAGAAATTCATATCTCGTTAACTATTGTAAAAATTGCATTGGTAGAGGACTTTTCAATTTTTTTATTAGAAATAGTACTGTATGATTAGTGGACGCTATTTCAGATATATATATATATATATATATAAAACTAATAAATCGTTTATTATTTATTATAAATCTAAAAGTAAAATCTCGCGTAATTGGCTACTTTGTTTTCGAAATGCAAGATTTACGCGTTGCCAAAAAGCTTCCCAATGTTTTATACCTGAATATACTATAGGTTCTTGTATTTATTTTTAAATTACTAGAGCGTCTCTCGAACAGCGTTCTAATTCCGAGTAGTTAAATTAATCGTGTAAACGATCGATGGCAGATATTTGGTGATTTTTATTTGCACGCGAAAAGAGGATATATAATTGTCATAACTCTGGCAGGATCCGAAGGAAGCGTATCACGACGTACAATTTTCACGCTATTTTGTCGGAAAAGATATTTGAAAATTGAAAGGCTCCCATAAAATCTGCAAAGTTGTCTGCTTTGAGCTTACCGTTTCTGAGAAACATTTCGCGAGAAAGAGAGAGGGAGAGGGAGAAAGAAAGAGATGGATTTTCGCATATTTAGCGCCGCAATCGCGATCGTCTAACTCTAAGTTTCGAAGCGACATTTCGCTTCACGACTAATCTGTAAATAAAGGCTCCGAATCGACACGTCGCAATTAAGTGATAATTAAAATTGTTAAGTACATAAGTGCGGCTGAAGTACGAATCGAGGAGCAACACGACCAACGAGAAAAGGATTGTCGAAACGCTTAGCTCCGTTTTGTAAACCGTCGTTGCCGATCTGATGTTTGCGTCGATGATGTGTTACGCGTGCGAGAGATCTACCTGTTACTTTGTAATATTAAAGAGAGAAAGACAGAGAGAGAGAGAGAGAGAGAGAGAGAGAGAGAGAGAGAGAGAGAGAGAGAGAGAGGCAGCCCCCTCGTCCCTCGCAGAATTTGTCCGGAATTTCTAGATATAATTCGTCGTCGGAAATAACGATCCGATTTTCAAGGAATTTACGACCAGAGTCTTCTCGAGAGTCTACGTCCCGCGCACAGCTCTGTAAAGCAACAATTACACACACATACACACGGACACGCCCGCCCCACAAACATCGAAACACACTTAATTGTTCGTCCTTTTTAACAAATATAACAGAACTTACGTCTTATTTCGATGCGAGAGCGTACGAGGCGAGATGCTATTGCAATGGGAGTCGTATCGGGATGAGGCGAGGCGATCTCGTCTCCACGTCTCGAAAATTGTACTTCGCGCATTGCACTGGCGTGCCGCTTCGTCGCGGCCTCTTTTGTAACCCTTTCGCCTATCCGATCTAATCGAACATCGAATCGCGCGATATCGACGTAGATGGACGTAAACGAGTGTCGCGGATATTTGGTTTCGTCGTAATCCGCGATTCCAAAATACGCGAGAAATTCAAGATCTCTCGAACTTCTGAGTGGAAACAGAGAGGTATCGACTTAGGAAGAGATTGCGAAGAGTTTCTCTTTTAAACAAAAATTGCAGACTGCAACGGAATTGCAAATCCCATTGAAATAACGTTAAATTGATTCAGTTTTTATTAAAATATGATATATGTATATATATATATATATTGAATTTTTGTATTGTTTCAGTCATTGAAACCATTTTAGACGATCTACGGTTCGTCATATTTTTACTGAGGTACGTCAAAATGTATAGTTTAAAAAATTATGATTAAAATAATTCGATATTCTATACATTTAATTATATTTATTTAATAATGCTTTTATTTTTGTTATGCAGTAGTTTAAATAAAATTAAAATTTTAGAATAGATATATAATGTACATTTTAATATATATTTAATATTTCTAATATATAATATATATTTTATATTCTATAATTTCGAATTTTTAATACAATATGTATATTCTATAATTATATATTCATGTCAGAGTTCTTTAATGACATTTTCAAATTACGGCGCATAAAATTATAAATGGAGTATCCTGTCGTGAATTATTGATCATTTAAAGTAGAAGACCTTAAATACATCTCAGGAACGCTAAAACGTTCATTGCGAAAGTGCTATGGCCGCCATTAAAACTTTTGATGCGAGAAATCAGCTCGAATTATAACATACGAATTGATAAGAAATGAGAAAAGCAACGATACTTGCGGACTCTTATCTCTTTTTCAAGGACGCGATTTTCCATTTCCGTGCAAAACGCTCTGCTAAACATTTTTAATTACTGCTCTCATTACTTAACCACGTAAATGAGATACGATAAAGTTTAATACACGCACTCGAACTAACCCGCGGGCGAGGATTACAAACTTTTCCGTCTCACCGCAGAAGGCGCAACCGTTCAAACTGCGTTAGTGTCGCCACCTAGCGTAGAAATTCTTCAACCTGTAGTTAACTTCACGCGGGTAAGAAAACTCCGCGCGCACGCGTGCAACACGTGCTGTCGAGAACGACGCGAACAGCTGACAGGAAACGAGAGACAGCGGACGTGGGGTGGATTGATCGTACGTGTCGCTGTCAAAGTCTGTACACAAACCACAGAATCTACAATTCTCTCCGAATATATGTAACAAGCGTCGCTTCGTTCATATATCATGGCGTTTCTGGAGGTCAGTTATTTCCATTATTTCTTTGCAACTCGCGTTTCCGTCGTTTTCTCGCTGGACAGCGAGATAACCTAGAACGTCAACATAAATCTTAATTGTCGTTTTAGTGGAGACGCTTTAATTTCTTTGACTTGAAGAAGGAAGTTGACGCAGGGAAGATCGCAACAGCGTTCGGAGTGAGTTGATTCTTTTGCATATTGAGATAATAGTTACTTCCCAGCAGGAGTCACGGATGATACAATGTAACACTGAATTACATCCATGTTGTTTACCAATTTAATAATAACAAAGAAACGATCACTGCGTTACACTATGTTTCTTGCTGGAAAGCATCAAATGTTACTTGACTGTTACACGCCTTTGTCGTAGACAGGAACAAGCTTCTGGTTATTGTTACATTTCTTGTACAGGATGCGCAAGTTGCGGCAGCTACCAGTGGCAATGGCAATCTGGTATTTGGAGATAACATAGGCAATGTACATTTAATAAACAGGTTGTATGAAATCACAACCTTTCGAGCTTATGAAATCACTCTGATATTGGCACAGCAAGTCCAACACTCCACTTTTCTGTTTACTATTGGCGTAAGAGTACCACTATAATCTGCTATGATATATTTTTTATTCATGTATACAGAGTGTTTGATAAGTAACGATAAATCTTTCGCACAAGAGCAGAATGGATTAAACTGAGAAGAAAAGTCCTCTATCATTTTATAATTTTCACAATAGATAAATAAGATATTAATTACTAAAATTTGTGTGTCGAAAATCTTCAATAATTTTTTATTCAAATACTAACAAAGAATTTTTTCATAATTTTTTATCAATTAGTATGCATTTTCTTATTTTTATCAACATGAGAAAATACGGTATTAATAAATTCTGAAAAAATTCTCAGAACTTTATGAGAAGAAAATAAACAATTTTTGTCTCTTTACAGTTTTTCTGTAAAGTTGATAGTATTTGAATAAAAAATTATTGAAGACTAATTTTTTCGGTCATTTTTAGCAATTAATATCTTATTAACTATTGCGAAAATTGCAAAATGATAAGAGGACTTTTCTTCTCAGTTTAGCCTATTCTTTCCACATGCGAAAGATTTATCGTTACTTATCAAATACCCTGTAAATAATAAATTATCAGATTATAGATTAGATAAATAAGAAATATATAATTTTATAATTTGTTTGAATGTATTATACTAACAGGAGGATGAGCCTGGATGCAATCCTACCATAAAGGTTTGGAACTTGGCCAAACTTGATAAACAAGGTAATCCAACATGCGTTCGAATAAGCAGAGCCATACCTAGTTACAGAGCAGTTCCACCAACAGCTTTGTGTGTACATACTAGTCTTACATTAATGGCTATCGGATTTGGAGATGGTTCTATAATGTTGTATAGGTAAGTAGCTTTTTTGTTATTTCTTGTTTTTATGGATTGGATATCATTAATATTAGAAAACTAGTATGCTATTTTCTTATGCAATATATTTTATTATAGCAATCTTGAATTAAATTCTTTTTAGAGGCGATCTGACTCGAGAAAGAAAGAACAAAATAAAAGTCTTAAAAGACGTCAATCTGTCTATTACTGGCCTCGCGATACGAGCAACTGGTAAGCAGACGTATCTGTTTGTTGCTACGCAAAACAGCGTGTTCCTGTATAATATTACCGTTAAGGATAAGGAATTTAAATCTACTTTGGATACTATGGGTTGCGCGCGAAAATGCAGCGTGCTCGCCGAGTCTATGCAAGACAGTCACTTTATGATCGGACGTAATGACGTATGTCAAATATGTGTTGCTTTGTGCTTGTGTCTTACATTACATTTTGCATCCATTTTTCAAAAGAACAAAATTTTCAGGCTATTTATTGTTACACCCCAGATGGTAGAGGTCCGTGTTATGCAGTAGAGGGTCAAAAGATAATGCTAGAATGGTTCAGGACTTATTTGGTGATAGTGGCGAAAGAAGCAGCGAATGTTCCAAGAACGACAACAACTATATCTGCCAAACCCAAGTAATGAATACATGCGTGTGTATTTTCTCTTGTAATTGTTTTATATATTATAAAGCATATCTGAAATTCCGTAGCACGATAGAACCGATACCTCCTGGTGTCGATAAGCACATTATTACTGTGCTTGATATTCAAAACAAGTTTATCGTGTTCTCTGCGCCGATGGTGTCTGTCCAAGCAGTTTTGTCCGAGTGGGGTGGATTTTTTATACTTAGTGGAGATAATAAATTGTATCATTTAGATGAGAAAGATTTACAATCTAAATTAGCGTTGCTTTTTAAAAAAAATTTGTACGATGTTTCTATAAGGTATGTCAGATATATTAATTTAGTTGTAATTAAATCAAAGTATTACAACTTTTAATAATATAACTTTGTGCTATCATAGAATAGCTAAAAATCAGCAATATGATGCAGAAGGTCTTATAGACATTTTCCGTCAATACGGAGATCATTTATATTCCAAGGGGGATCATAATGGCGCTATAGAGCAATATATAAAGACTATAGGCAAATTGGAACCGTCTTACGTGATAAGAAAATTTTTGGATTCTCAACATATCGATAATTTGACGACGTATTTGCAAGCGCTGCATAAAAACGGACAAGCAACAGAGGATCATACCACTTTGTTATTAAATTGTTACACTAAGCTTAATCATACCGATAAGTTAAAAGAATTTATTATGGTAAGTTATATATGCAAAACTAAATATTTGTTAATATATCTATGTAATATATATACTAGCTCTCTGCGATATATATATATATATATATTTTTTTTTTATTACATTACCTTATAAATTTAGACTAAAGATCGTGAAGTTGATTTTGATGTGGAAATAGCGATAAAAGTTTGCCGACAAGCATCACCAGAGGATGCCCTACTACTTGCACAGAAACACGGTAAACACGAATGGTATCTTCGTATTCAAATCGAAGATAAACAAGAATATAAAAAGGCTTTAGAATACATGGCAACTTTAGAATTCGAAGAGGTATTACGTATTTACATAAATTTCTATAAAAAATGATAAAATATTCATATTAAAGAAATGATTTAAAAATTATTTAGGCGGAAGCTAATATGAAGAAATATGGAAATATCTTAATAGAAAATGTGCCAAATGAATCCACACAATTTTTGAAAGCCTTGTGCACAAATTATAAACCATCCAATAAACCTCTTGTAGATCAGGTATGAATACATATATATTTAAATTGTATACATTTAGACTAAGTTATTATCTGAGAAAAATCTAAAGGATGAAAATTTATGGATTCTTCTATTGTTATAGGAAGCTTTAAATGGTTATACAGAACAGCGTGTTGATAAAGCTAGTCCAGAAGATTTTATTCATTTATTTCTAAATAATTCTGAACGACTCGTAGAGTTCTTGGAGCATTTAGTTAAATCAGATACGAGGTTATTATGCTTCACGATAAAAAGAATGCATATATTTTTTTATCATGAAATTAACTCTTTATCTTTTTCATATTTTTTATAGATGGAGTACACTTATTTACAATACCTTAGTGGAACATTATTTACATGTTTGGTCGGCATTAGATAACGATGTGGCTAAATTACAATATGAACAGAAAGTTGTACGACTTCTGCAAAATTCCGAGGCCCATTATGATAAAGACCAAATATTAATACTCTGTCATCAACATAATTTCAGAAAAGGATTACTCTTCCTTTACGAAGAAAGCAAGCTGTAAGATGTGATTTTATGAATAATTATATAACATATAAATACTTATAAATACATTTTTTTTATCTATTATCTTAGATATCAAGAAATATTAAGATTTCATTTATGCGAGGGAGATAGCGAACAAGTTCTCGCTACCTGCAAAAGATTCGGTCACCAGGATCCTAATCTATGGGTACAAGCTTTATGGAGTGTGGCTAAAAACAAGGATGCACCAACAAAACTTCTCGCGGATATATTAGCTTATATCGGTAAATATATTTGTAGAATATCAATTGAGTTCAATCAAATACATTGGAAAATATTGTTTTGTTAATGCATATAAAAATATCATTGCAGCTCAAGAAAGACTATTATCTCCTTTAATGGTCATTGACGCAATTTCTACATCATTGACCTGCACACTGGGAGACGTTAGAAGTTATTTGTGCAGTGTATTACGAACGGAAAATGAGCAAACTCAAGCTGACACGGAATTAACAGAGAAATATAGAGCTGATACTCTTAAATTGCGGGAACAAATAGAAGCAATAAAGAATAATACGATAATTTTTCAAGGATCACGATGTAGCGCGTGCCATCATCAATTGGAATTGCCATCTGTGCATTTCATGTGTCAACATTCCTATCATCAACAGTGAGTTTAGTTTTTTTAATACTCTATTCTTATTTGTATTATGGTACATGAATTTACTATCATACAATTTCATTTTATACTATATTTTTTTGGATAGTTGTTTTCAAAGCTTTTCGGAAAATGAAAACGAATGCCCGGCCTGCTTGCCAAATAACAAGAAATTACTGGATATTATAAGAGCGCAAGAACAGTCAAGAGATCTACATGAAACTTTCCACAGTCTTCTCGATCGAGCAGAAGATCCATTTTCCTTAGTAGCCGATTATTTTGGTAGAGGCGTTTTTAAAAAATTAACAGTAATCACTGATACAGACAAATCATTACCTACACCGACCAAGTTGGAAGAACCTAAGTTAAATTATGGCCCAGGTGCAGAAGCGAGACTCAGATTAAATGAAGGAAAGAGTTCTATCTCGGGTATATTTTAATATCACACTTATATATGTATGCGTTTATTTTATTACTGATGAGTTACGAGTCATCTTTCATATATCCTTTTTACTTAATCTTCAAATAACTAATCAATATGTTTTTGCATTTTTCTAATAGGAAAAATAGACCCTCGACGAGCTGGATATGACGTTCCTACATTAATAACGGAAGAGCGTTTCCGTAATTTTGTCAAGCCAGACGTGTATTCTTCATCTTTGGAGGCGAATATATCAGGAACGGGAAGCGGTTTATCGACGCCACGCGGTAACTCTGCTAAAGCTTCGCCGGTGCCGATTAGAGAAGCCCGCATCTTAAACAGTACTACACCAAAGTCATCGCCAATCGACAAGTCCTTTGTTTCGAAAATCCCTAATGTGCCATCAAATCCCTTTGAAACTGACGATTATGATGAATCTAAAAATCCCTTTGCTAACGATGACGATGACGACGCGAATAATCCTTTTAAAGACGATGATGATAATGATAATGATCGGGCTGGCATCGATGACGACGATTACAACAGAAATCTAAACCCATTCGGTAGGTAAACCGCAAATACATTTCCCGTGAAAAATTTGAATCAAGACAAAATATATATAAATATATACAGATAAATACTTTGCGATACGTAAAAAGAAAAAAAATATTGTCAAATGCTTGCTTTAATAAGCATAATGAATTTACGAATATAATGTATTATGTATAAACTTGTATAGTATCTATTTCAATTTTATATGCTGTAAAAATTTGATTTAGAACATTAATATCATATTTCCTTCACTTCCACATATCGAAGACTTTATGCTTCGATTTTAGCTTAATATCTGTCCACTAAAAAGAACATAGTATTATTTAAAATACTATGCTTTTTGTATCTTTGTGTAGACGAAACACGGTGTTTAAATTTTGTCTATTTGTAAATGCTTATATTTGAGGTAATCAGGATCGAAGAATCGTAAAATAAAAAGCAATTGAATCAATGAAAAAAAAAGATATATTGATACGCCTTTGTAATAAGACTGTGATCTGAAAAAGAATCGAGTAAAATTTTGGAAGATAAGATTAATTGCAGTGTGATTGATTAAAAATTTATTATTTCACTCTCCATTTTTATATTTGGTTGTTTTCATGATTATACGATTATATTGTTTAAATAGAAGGAGAGTCAAAATAAGAAGAATGTTATTGTAATCATTATGCCTTTGTGTGCTGCATCTGTTTGCTTGAATAGAACAGCACGTGTAAAAGTATTGAAAAAGCAAAACGAATTATAAGATTGTACAATTATAAGATATTAGAAATAAGGAAATAAAAAGCATGCTATCTATATATATATGTACAAGTTTATTTTGTATCAATTATTTGATTTTATATCATCTATTTCTAATTAATTTACTTACCCCAGGTAAACTTTTTTTAGAAGAAATAGAGCATATAAATTTCTTTTGCTACAAATATCTAATTTCTAAACTATCAAACTGAGGAACCCAGAATTTCTCTGTTCGAAAATCAAACTTATTCATCCAATTACTAACAGAATAATGTATCTATTTATTATGGTTTCTTTATAAAAATAAAGGAAATAATTTTATATTAAAAAGATATCTGAATTATAAGAAAAGCAAATCAAATATTTAGGTCTGTCTTCTTCGAAAATTTATGATCTTCTAATAAATTAGCGTGACTTAAAAGAGTCCTCGATGTCATGACAATTTGCAAATTTATATATATATATAATATTGCATTCAGATTTATTTATAAGTGATAGCATAATCATTCATTGAGCGGCTAAGTGGCAATTGAATTGTAATTGAATCCCAAAATAAGAATCAATCAAACTTGAGTTTCTCAGCGAGTGTGGCATTGGATGCCCATTGACGCATCGAATGCGTCATCGTCACCTATCGTTCATTTCTGTCATGGTGGTAGCACTGATGGGCGAGCTGACGTCATTGTTGAGTTCCGAAATTGAAATCAATAAGTGCAATGTGCAATGTTGTGTGTACATCACGGACGGTGGGAAATGGCGATTATGTCAAAACATCGCGCTAGATCCGATTGCGTTTGACTCGAAACGACGACGAGGGTATTCATTGACGAGATGGCTCGCAACAGCAAGAAGAAACTCGCGATATTCGTGGGTACATCGAAGTGTCTCATTTATGTGAGTTGCCTCGTCCTTCATGAGTGAATGATGCTTATTTCTCCCAATTTCTTTTTTACTCGAAAAATTGCACACTCGCGAATGCAGAAATTGTCGCATTATAGAAATATTTCTGTAATTTTGCAGCTTTACCTAATTGCACTTGAATTCATGATCTCTGGATAGAATCAAACAATGGAGCATCCTATAAAGTCCCAAGTATAAAAAGTTATCACGAGATTTTGTTACAAATATTAATAAAATTAATTAAATTTTGTTAAATGTTCGATTACAAGTTTGTTTATTTTTACGAATGTTTATAACATCAGAATCCTTTTTTAGGCAGAAGCAAAGTTCTGTGCCTCTGATATTCCTGGAGAGATAAAATACTATGAGTATGTTGCCTCTTTTAATTATATATTAACTAGTTTTTATTAGATTGCATTTGATTTATCGATTGTAAAATATACTTATGTTTAAAGACTTGTTTATTGTATTTTGTTTATTATATTGAATATGAAAAATTAATTTTACATTGATTATAACGTTTGCAGATGTTCAAGAACAGAATATTGTTGTGCTTTTGGTTGTTGTGTGTCACCCGGATTTCATTTCCATCACTTGTGGTATTACTGGTAAGTCATTATCCAGTCGACGTCAATTAAAAGTAACATAACAATGTTATAATTTCAATATTCTAATTTTGCACTCAAAAATAAATGTAACACGATGCATGATGTTACATAACAGTTATATTGTTGAGTGCGAAATTGTAACATCAATGTTACTTTTATGTGTTGACTGAATAATAATGATTTCTTTGAGTTTTAATAATAATCACAATGTGTTGTGTAATATGCAGCTTTTCCATTAAGCAGAACAGCAACAACAATATGTACAATTAATTTTTCAGGATCCTGGTTATAATCATGTTCTTGGTCTGTTCTGGTGGTGGTTGGTGGTACCGATACTGGTTGCAAGGCAGATACAGAGCAGCAGCTTCGGCTATTCCAACTCGCTCTTCTACCACTAGATCGCAAAGTTCTCTTCGTAACGCATCTTGTCAAGCACAGCAAGCTCGTATTACATACAATTCAGCGAGAAATACCGTCCTATTACATCGCATGTGGAAAGGTTCGTATTCTTTTCTAATAGATTCACTTTGTAAAAAGATTTACTTTGAGAAAAGTGAAAACTTTATTTATGTAAATTTCCTTGAACAGGTCCTCAGAGAAATACAGCGGCGCCAGCATATAATGGTAACGCGACCACATCGACACACTATCAGAATATGAACGTTGTATTAAACGATGCCAATTGTCCTTATTATCAATTATACGGTCCTCCGCCTAGTTACGAGACAGTGATAGCGCAAACGCGTGGCAAAATCTCAAATCCGGCATCGCCAGAGTCGTCTGCCGCCCGGTTGAATCTACAAACGGCGAATGTGATACCAAATCCAAGTGTACCACAGTGTTTTTTCTATAACTGCAATTCTCCGGCGAGATTGGTGGACGGTAATTCGAGTCAATGTCAAAGTGATACCGCGAATGCTCATCAACTTGATAGTCACGAGAGTGTTCCGTTCGCGCATTTTTCCCAATATTGCACCACGAACGGTGCGGTTAGTCAAAACATGTGCGTTCCTTTAGAATATCCAGAAGAACCGATCGCGTCCGGAGGAAGTAATTTCAGTTGTAATTATCAGAACAGCCCGCATCGGTTACCGGGGTATCCAACAGATAGATTGCCCAATGTGTCGGATGCGGAAAACGTGGCTCGTGGCTACGAGATTCCGAATACCGAACATGCGATACTTAATATTGACGCTGCGACCAGCAGCTATAGAGAATGTAATCCTTGGCATGAAAATGATCAATCTGTACGAGTCCACGGTAAGATTACCATGCAGGATGAAACTCGAACATCTCAGAAGAGATGCATGACGACCACAGATATGCACACTCTCTTGCCTAAGGAGAGTAGAAGCGAGAATGAATTGAAGCGTACGTTTAACGTAATTCCTGTGATGCAGAGAAACTTTCCGAGAGGACGTACGAGTTATGGCGGTTCCTTGCGATTACCGCGTAGACACACCGGTATCATTTACCAAGGCGATGGCTTCCAAAATGTTCTCCCCAGAGATTCGTCGAACGCTTCTCAATGGAGCACTTTTAATTCTGCTCAGACAGCAGCATCCGAAGGCGCGAGTTTTCTGGAACGAGATGCGAATTCTTCTCAATCAAATCCATCCAATAATGTGATATTAGAATCCTTTATTTTTGAAAATGTGCAATTGCCTCCAAGCGAAAATGTCGAGGAGGCCCGCGGTCTTCGTGCAATGAATCGGAATATAAACTTTGATCTTGAAAGTAAACACAAGTTAGACAGATCAAAGTCATTAGACTGAACGTAAATTGAAATTCTTATTGCGCATATTACGCGATGTTTATTCTTGTATGTCTCTACTATTTGCGCATAACTTGTATAGCAATACAAATTTAGGATGCCGGATCGAGTTGCCGCTACGAATGCTTCGAAGCATTTTTTGATTGGTCAATTAGTAAAATTTTTTCTTCCGATTGGTTAATCAAATGCTTTGAAGTATTTGTAGTGGCAACTCGACCGTATCCTTAATCGTTCGTTATCAAGATACGTTATCAGAATAATCTTTAAACGGAGTTTCCGACTGTCGCGAAGAAATAACGATTCTATTTTATCAGAAATAATGTGGTATCATTTTTATTAACACATATGTATGGAATATTTTATGCAGCGGTGAGTGTTTCGTATTTACTAATTCCGTAGTATTGTTTTACAATACTTTACTATTTCTTTAATTACCAATTTTGACGATTGAATCTCGTGAAAGATGTGTGTGTGTGTGTGTGTATCGTTCATTATTATCTCTCACACAGGATTAGCAAATCTAATATTAGACGTTAGAATTAATTCGCACATTCACAATATATTTGTTGCAATTCCGAAGCTGAACTATTTTGATTATCTATTGAGATGCTAAATGTTATCTCTAAGTGTGATAGGCGATGGTTCCATCTACATACGGCGGCGAAACGTCTTATTTCTGATACCTACGATATATACTGCCATAGAAAGATCTTTTTGAACGTCGTGTGTCAGATATTAATTTTTTTTATTTCTACACTACACTTAACGTAATAAGATTAAGGTTGAAACGGTGAAAATGATGTTTCAAAAGCGCGGCCCAATTTAATCCACCTACGCACAAAAAAGATATCAATCATTACTTTATATGGCAATGATAAATAAATCGCACATCTTTTTTTATGAACTTAAAAAACGAATTTATGAATTATTTATGAAAGACCATTGGTCTTCAATAAAATTCGTAATAAATAAGATTTATTTGAAATATCAAATAAATTTTGACATATTTTTTCTAACAATAATATTGATACATTGAACTTGACAATGCCGAAGTGGTATCGTCCTTCGTGCAGTATATTTTCGTCAAGCCATTCTTCTCTATATATAATATATTTAAGCCTCTATTATATATATGCACAGTAACACTATCTCTATATTAAATAATGCGTAAATTGCTACACGTTGCACACATACCCGACATTAAGATACAGTGATCCAAAGAAAATTCTAATTTATTACAAAAAATTCGAGTTTACGATTGAAACAGCAATACTATCGTAATGAAGAAGATACGATCGCGTAAAAGAATAAGAAGTTAACAAAGCGAAGGTCGTTCAGTTAACATTAGAAAAATGAACGTGAGGGAATATATGTGAAAATAAATATAATTCATCGTTCAACTGAATTGAATTACAAACAGATATTTTTGCGCATGTAATATGTTAATTTCCTCACGTATAATAGATAATATTTTTACTTCAATATCTCTTTATATTTATATATATTTTATAAGAAGAAAGATGTGTCCTCGAGCTGTGACTAATCTTTATTTACTCGTATATCAATATGGGAACATTAATTGCAATCCTCGCGAATCATATCTTTTAGATAAATTGACATTAAAAGAATTTAAAGCAGTTCAATTTATACACTATACGCTATACGTCTCGCTATTATTTTTTAAATGCAATATACACACATGCTATGTGTATTAAATTTTAAGATACATCGTCAGTCCTTCGACTTAGATTCTTGAGCATAATAGCGGTCCAAGAAAACGCAATATGTGCCAATAGCGACAAGTCCGTTAGATAAGCAAATAATTGGATAAGCGAGGCACGATCTCGCAGCCAAGGAGGTCTTACCTTAAAAAACAAAACAAAATAAAAAGAGATATATGTACACACTTATTTTTTGTAATCGACTCTAACTGATAAATGGGCTGTTTAACGAGAGTCCATGTGATTATATAATATAATAAGCTTGTACCATATATATTATATATCATATAATATACATCTATATATATATATATTATATATACCGCCACGAGTCTACAACAATTTCTAGTCAGAAGTCACGATATTTTGTGTGCGTGCGTAGCCTGCGCGTTATATCATATAGCTTTAATAAGCTCTAGTCTCTGAATGATCTTCTCACCGTAATGTGCAATCATGTATTCGCGCGGTATCAGTGACACTGTAAGATACCGTATCTAATGTGAAAGAATGTCTATCCAAAATAAAGACACCAAATATTTATTCACATACAACCAAGATAATCTTTGTGATGTTAAAAGTGAATTCCTTTAAAACTGTAGTGTACCATGTGAAATAAATTTAATTAAAAGATGTTTCTAAGTAATTAAAATTGAGGTACCTCAAAATGAGATGGGCTACTTTTAAGGCACTTTAAAGATTAACTGATCGAAATTCTCAAATTTACTATCAAATAGAAATCAAATTTCAACGTAAGACATTACGAGTGAATTTTTGCGTAATAATAATAAAATAAGTCAACTATAATATATATATTTTCTTATGAATTTATATGATGAAATTATAAAGTTATACTAATGTTTCAGAAAGAGATGCTTTTAGATTGTTGAACTTTTTGAATATTTCTTTATGTTGATACGTTAAAGCGAATTTCTTTTTATTCCGCGTTCGGCATTTTTTCAATGGTAGATGCTCGAATATTGGCAAGTAGTAAATAATGAATATACATTACAAACAGAAGTAGTATAAGTTCAAAATTCTAAAATTATGGAAATTATCGACAATTCGAAATTTGTTTCCAAGGGAATAAGTTTCATTCAATTTCTTTAGCTTTCAAATTATTTTTGTCCCCCCCGAAAAACACTTGTAATGTGCATCAAAAATGACGATTTTACTCAGTCGTTCAATTTGCGAAGAGCTATCCATTATTCGCGCGATATTTCAACGAATCCATTACGAGTAACGCGATGTGACAGTGTGCCAGTGTTATGATAATAAGGCGATACTTGTCGCAAAACGACGATAAGAGATGGCAGGTGGAACCGGACGAGCGAGAAATCAATATAAACGGGATTCGCGGGGTCGTGGGGTGTGCGGTGGGTGACGGGGTTGCACGACGGAAGGTGGTAAGGGCATCCTCCTGTTGAGAGAGGCGGCTGCCGAAAGCTGGGCTTGCAGCGCATTTCACCGGCCACGCTGGCGAAAACGACGGAAAATGTCGTAGTTTCGGTGGCAGCCGGAAGTACCCAGTGAAATCCGTCTTGCCTTCTTTTCCCTGCCTTCCGCCACCTTTCTGTCCGGACCTCCACCCTTCGGTTCCTGCCCTTTTCGCGATCGCTGCCCCCGACTCGTGTGCGGGCGCGCGTATTCCACCCTCAATGGTGAATCAATAATTAAGGTGACAGTGCAGTGGTTGCGCGATCGTGTACCGGGTCAAGATGTCGGTGAAGGTGAGTCCTCGTACGTTCGGCGAATACGATGCGAGCATGTATGGCAGTTCCGGTTCCCTGATACGGGATTCCCGGTTGACTGATTAACGAAATAACTTCAGCTGAATCGAGCCCCGCTGGCGAAATGGTCTTTCTGCGCTCTGTTGGGAGTGCTGTTGTTATGTAACGCTTACAATTTTGAATATTGATATCTTATCTCGCGTATAGGGAGAAAGAAAAAGAGAAGAGAGAGAGAGAGAGAGAGAGAGAGAGAGAAAGAGAAAGAACGATTACGACGCTCATATCGTCTTTTTATGTGAGACCTCATTATCATCGATAAGCATTAATGATCGTAGGTCATGGCTTATCACTTATGAATTAAAAAACGATATTTATCTTGGCTTGGATGCGTTTTTAGTGCGTAAATGTGATTAACCGAGCGCGATTACTCGCGAGATGTTGCGATATATCTTCGATTGCTTTTTCGCGCCTAAATACACGCAACACTCAAGCAGACATAATTTTCACGTTGCGTTGCGTGCGAAGCGCGGTGTGATTTCCCTACTGAAAAGAATTATATCACAAAGTTATATAATAAAATTGTGTAATTGAGACAAATAAATCACGTAATAGATTGTTCCAAATCAGTACGTGATTTTTTTGTAAATCACATGACAATAGAAATAATTTCATCCATCCTGTAATATTACAGTTATCGAGTATTAAAGAATTGAATAATAAAACTAGAAGAAAAAGAATATATATCATCATTTGACTTTTCAAATTACATAATTTAAAAAAATCACATATTGATTTGAAACAATCAAATAAGTTACGTGATTTACTTGTTTTAATTACATAATTTCGTCATGTAACTGTGTGACGTGATTTTTTGGGATATAGGGTTAACTTCTTCGTTTCTGTTGTAAAAAAAATCCGAAACAAGATCCATATGATTGGAAATGATCATCACAGAAATTAATATGAAATATTTATGTATTTCTCGAAGTATATATTTTACGGCGAAAAATCATTACTCTTTACAATCTTCGAAGTCGAACTTTTTTCCAAAGAGTGCGAATTAAGCCAGTCTTTTGAAAAGAGTGATTCAATTTTTAATCTTTAAAGATTTCATTTCCCAGAGTGAGACTCATTATAAAAGTTTTAGAGAGCAGATTAAGTTGTCTTGAGGCACAATCGATTTTTTTCTTCGTACGATATTCTAATTTATTAAAGCATCGTCTTCTTTTCACTTTCACTTTTCACTCGTGTACACGACGACGTATTTCTGTAACCTCAAGTAGCTCTAGTTTTACGTGACACTGCGCGTTGTGCATTAAAAGTAAACTAGTTCCAATTTGTTGATCTTATTACAGTATAATGTCCGCGCGTAGTTGGCTGTCGCATTAAATCGCGAAATATTTTAATGGCAATAAGCGTCACAAGTGTCCGCTTCCTGCCAGAACGAAGGCCCTTCGTCGAAGGCGAAGATAATCCGAGGGTGCCCGCGCACTCAGACACGCGTGCGCGCGTCGCGTGTATATTCAGGAACGCGTCACGCGCGTGCTTTTCGGCGCGCACTTACGCACGCCGTCGTCAGTGCATTGCGTCACTGCGTGCAGATTGTAGTTGGTGTAGTCGGCACGTAACCAGTAACCACCGGCACTAGTATTGGCACGCACCGAACCATTGTTCCGCCCCTTCTTGCGCGGAGTTCCGATAAAGCGAATCGGAAATAAACGCAAATTC